AGAGGGAGAAGCAGACTCCCCGCCGAGCAGGGAGCTCGATGCGGGACTCGATCCCGGGACTCCAGGATCATGACCTGAGCCGGAGGCAGTCGCTTAACCAACTGAGCCACCCAGGCGCCCCTTGACTCCCAACTGTTAAGATGCCTTGTGGACAGAGGCTGCCCCAACAACAGCCTGAGAACGCAGGGGACAAGCCCTTCTGCATCGTGGCTGAGCGGCGCTGGGCTGGGTGCCCACGGGGGCCTTCTGAAGATGGGCCTGGGCAAAATGAGCAGAGACGGAGCAGCACCCAGGGTGGCGAGGGCCTGGGGACACAGCTAACACCCGCTGAAGGCGGAACTAAAACCAGGAAAACAGACTGCAGAACCCTGGCTCCAACCACTCAGCCCCACTGCAGACAAGCTCCCTTCCAGCTCCTCACGCGGCCTTGTGGGAGATCCCGCCCGCTGCCAGACCCGCCAACCCCACACGACAGCACAAGCGTGTTTCCGCATTTCTCTGCCAAGTGGAAAAGCATACCCACATACACACTGTAGCTCACAACTTTTCAAAAAACACACATCTGACCCTGTCACTCCTATGCTTAAAACCTTTGCACGACTGCACCATGTCCTTAGGATCAAGTCCAAGGTCCAACCCCTGCCTCCCTGTAGTGTGGCTTCAAGCACACTGGCCTCCACACTGCTCCTCGAACGTGCTTCCGTGGGCTGTCCAGGGCCTTCCTGCAGGCAGCTGCCCCCAACCACGACCTTTCCCTCCCTCTTTCCCCAAGGTCTCCCACTCCTGAGACCTCACCCAAGGCTTCCCCCAAAGTCTTTTTTTTTTTTTCTAAGATTTTATTTATTTATTTGACAAAAAGACAGACAGAGAAAGCACAAGTAGGCAGAGCGGCAGGCAGAGGGAGAGGGAGAAGCAGGCTCCCGGCTGAGCAGGGAGCCTGATGCAGGGCTCGATCCCAGGACCCTGGGATCATGACCTGAGCCGAAGGCAGATGCTTAACCAACGGAGCCACCCAGGCGTCCCGGCTTCCCCCAGAGTCTTAAAGCACCCTGAACTCTCCCCTCAGAGCATTTACCACAGATACTAATTACTCGGAAGATCTGTCTTGCTGAACGACGGTCTTCCCGTCCTCCCCACCAGGTTCTAAGCTCCTAAGAGGGACCATGTCTGTCGACTCCATGCTCAACCCGGAGCTTGGCACGGAGCCTGCCGTATAGTAGGGCCTCAGTATCTGCTCCAGGAATGGTCAGATGAACCCATACACGCCTGGGGCACCAATGCCACTGAGGCAGGGAGGAAAGAGCGTCAGGCACTCGCCTCGCTTGCCAGCCCCATTCACAGGCCGACATCGCTGGGGCCTGGACCCACCTACTGGATGACCCACCAGTTCCTCAAACACCCACCTGTGGGCGTGGGCCGGAAAGCACAGGACTGGGAAACTCCCCAACAGTCCCATGGGCCAGCCCCTGACCCCCAGGGCCCCGCTTACCGGACGTCTTTGTCGATCTGCAGCAGCACCTCGTTGTCCTTGAAGTACGTGTTCCACCGGCTGTCAGGGTTGGGGTTGAGCGGCTGTGGGGAGAGAGTCAGCTGCTCTGTCCCAGGTCCGACTAGGACGTCAGGGGGCAGACCCCAGTCTGGGGGCCTGGGCAGAGGCCCTGCTGAGGCTCTGAGACAGCCTGTGAGCTATGCGGGGAGCCTCCCACGTCACGTCCAAACTCCAAGCGGAGCCCCGCAGTCTGCTCTGACGACATCCCTGCTGGCCAGGGAGCGTCCCTTCCATCTGCGGCTGCCGCTCTCCCACACCGCCCATACCAGGTGCTGCTCAACGCTTGCTGAGTGAATGCTCGTTGTATCACTAGGTCTCTTCGAATCTGATTCACCAACGCTCTGAATCGCTGATCCTAATCCTCAGAGCATGGGCCTGGGTCCATCCATCCCCACCTCCTGCCCACGGGGAGGGGCTCGGTATTTGAGGAGAGAATGAGGCTTCCTCCAGGCCACAGGAAGACAGTCTATTCTCACTCCTGCCCTGCTCTGACTTTCTTCAGCTATAAAACCAAAACCTTCCCCGGGGAACGGAGGTGAGGAGGAAAGGAGACAGAGCCCACACAGAGGACCAGGCTCAGTGCTACGCACACACTCAGAGCCCCAGCTATGACTTACATTCCTGACTGGGTCCGGGGCCTGGGAAACAGAAGGGAGAGACAACAGCCTTCACGGGCCAAGCAGCCCGACGCAGAAAGGAGGGGACCCAGATTGGCTACACCTGTCCTCTGGGGTTGGGGGGACCTGCCAGCTCCAAAGCCTGCACCCCTCCCTACTCTGCAGCCTCAGTCCCTGCGGCCACCCTTACTCACATGGTCCTCAAAGGTTACATCCTCCCTGGACACACCCATGTTGGCCTTGGCAATGCCAGGCTGGATAATCATTTCCCTCAGGAACTGAGAATATAGCTCCCTGTGGAAGAGAAGAGGAGAGACGGATGATCCCAAAGGTCCCATCCAGGAAGACTGGATCAGAGAAGTAACAACAGGAGGCAAGACCTATTGTCATCCCCCTTTCTCATGGTCTCACCTCTGCTTGGCCAGGATGGAGGTCCATGAGGCTCTTTCCAAGGGGAGGTAGTTCAAGAGAATCTGCACAGAGGGAGAGGAACAAAGCTCTGGCGACTCTCCAGTTCAACCCCAGACAGTAGACGGAGGCTGACCAGCCTCAAGGAAAACGTCTAATAAAGCCCAGAGAAGACCAGATGGGCTGAAACCCACGAATGGAGGCGTGGGCTAGGGGTAGCCTCCCCGTTGCTCTCCATTGCCTCCCTCCTCCTTTACCCCAAACCAGCCCTTTCCACTGCTTTTCTTCACACCGACACTTCCAAATGATAATAAAACCTGGTGCTCAAAGAGGCTGGAAACCCAGACACTGGGCTTTGGCTCCCACCTCAGCTAAAAGCCATGGATAGAGCATGGCCTTTTTTTTGGTCCCATGAAGCATCACTTCCGCTGCACTGTATGGACCAGGAAGAAGAGGTCTTCACTGGCACTACAAAGCATTCCATCCCCAAGGCGATCCTGGAGGGAACGCCAAGAAGAACAGAAAACCCACAACTTCCCAGAAAAGTTTCCGCGAATAAGCAAGGAAAGGCGCAGAACAAGAAGGGGCCGGGGTGGGGGCAGCCCATGCAGGAACCCAAGGACTCTTGGCAGAGCAGACGCCCCAGCCCAGCACACCCACCTTCCAGCAGAGGCACCGCAGTCCGCCCTCACAGGGGATGCCTGTGGACACAGCAGGCAAGAGTCACGCCCCAGGCCAGAGCCCCCGGACCCCCCAGGCCTCCACCTCAGAGCCAGTTGGCAGGGAATGGAGTGGGCAAGAAGTACTTCTTCAAGGATCATTTTCTGTCAGAAAGATGACTGGACTGGATGCTAATCCTGTGTATTTCTCCCTATGACCCCTGCCTCCAGCCCAGAGCTCCCTGTGTGTGGAATGTTCTTTTGAGGATAACACCTTCTCATTCCTCAGAGCAGCATTTACCCACCACCACCTCTTCCCAGTCAAAGTCAGATCTCTTGTTACAAACCATAATGGTTCCGTGACTTCTCCTTCATAGTGTCCATCACAGTCGGGGGACTGTTTAACATAGTTTGTGTATATATTTAACATCTGTAACCTCGACCACTGGGTAAGCCCCAGAAAGACAAGAGCCATATGTGTCTTATAGTCCCTGTCCCCAGCACGGGGCACAGCACACAGAAGGCTTACCATAGATATTTGTGGAACATAAGTTAAGCTATAAATGGTAAGTGCTTGGTGCCTAATGGACACTACTTCACTTAATCCTCATTAGAACTCTAGTAAATAGGAAAGATTAGCATTGTTGTCCTCATCTTACAAATAAAGAAACCTACCTATAATGACAGAGCACTCAAGGAGTCAAACACAGGTCTGTCTTAACTCTACAGCCCAAACTCAACCACTCCCCCGGAATGGCTCCCCCGAGGCCTGGTAGATTCTTCAAATACACATCCCATGACCCCTCAAGGTCTTCGGGGTCTAATACCACTCCTGAACAAAAAAACAAACTCCTCCTGCAATACTGTCAGGAAGCTCGCTAAAGCAGCTGTTGCTCTAGGACCCCGAATACCGCGATCAGGAGCGAATGCCCCCACCTCAGAATCTGTATGGGGAGGAGAAGAGCAACTCAAGAATTCCTTGCTGACAAAGTCACAAGGACCGAGCAGTTAACAAGAACCTGCACACAACACCTTAGGGTGTTTTAAAATACCTTAGGGTATTTTAAAAGAGAAGCAAAAATCTCTGTGCAGGAAGGGTAACCAGGCCGGGGAGGGCAAAGTCAAACATTGCTGAAGTTCAGCTCCTAGAGTCAGGGTCTCAAGGCCTTCACAAAAGTTCACAATCGCCTGAGTCAGCTTTGATCCCCAAGCCTGGGAGAGAACCAGGAACTGCTCCGCAGCTAACCAAATTCTACAACACAGGAAGTTTGCTGAGGAGTGAGGAAGACACTGCAGCGGCCCCAGGCTCAAGTCTCCTCCTGCTCCAGCTTCCCGCGTTCAGCCCTCTCCAGTTACTCTCGGCAAGCGGCAAGCAGCAAGCACCACTTAAACGCCAGGAAACATCCAGGGTCCACAGGCATGCCCTTGGTGGTCAGGGTTGTCAAGGGTTGTTTCAGAGTCAGAGAATCTGGAGAAGGCCCCAGGAGGCAGCCTGGCCCCCAGAACTGACCAGGTGTGGCCTTGGGTACCTTCCCCTCCATTCTAACCACACACAATGTTGCTCTAGGGAAACCCTGAACCCGGAGAGCTGCCGCTTACCACTTACCACTAAAACTGAGTTCCCGAAGCTTTTCCAAGGCGATGGTGGGCTCCTTCAGGACATCGTGGAAATCTGCAATCCTAGAAGGCGGGATGGGGAGGCAAGTGAAGCACACCCAAACCCCACCGTGACAGACTTTGTGATCACTCCTGAAGCCCAAAGCTCTCATATCACCAGTCTTCAACTTGTTCCCCCCCATCCCTTCAGGACAGAAAAAGAGCAAAGCTCAGTCAAGGTCCTGGCCAAAGGCATCTTTGTGGGAACGACAGAACTACAGATCACTTGTTCCTCCAAACGCAGAAACATAATATATTCTTGTCTAGAGGTTCTCAAATGAACATCATGAAATTAAACACATTTCTAATATTTAGTGAGCTAGCATTTCTTGAGCACTTCCTGCTGGCCAGACCCAGCCCACAGGGCCACTATCTGAACTCAAGGAACCCTAAGAACCAGGAGTAACATGATCCCTAGACAACGGGCCTGTGTAATTGGCACGCAGCTCTCCAGGCTCAAAAATAAAACCATTAGAAAACCTCTGGTCTCACCCGCAGGCAAGGACAAAAGGTTTAAAGAACAAGTCGTGGAGGAAAATTGAAGAGTGAGCAAAATTTGGCCGGTGCTGCGGGATTTGGCCTGGGGGAGGGGAGATTGGAGAATCCAGGTTCTCCAACTTGCCTTGTAAGAAACGGGCCAGGGGGACGGGAAGCATTTGGAGGGGAGGGTACTGGGGCAGAGGATTAACAGGGGAGACAAAAACGGGGGGTGTGGGGGATGGGGAGCTGGGGAACAGGGCATCGAGGCCCTGGATGAGGAAGACCCGAGGGCAAGAGGGAAACCCGGGGTCCAGGATGAGGGAGAGAGGGATGGGGTGACACCGGGAAGCAAAAGAGGTGCCTCCGCTCCGTGCCCTCTCTGGCCCACAGGCAATGAGGTTGGAAAGTGGGCGCCCGAGACCCTCTACCGGGAGGAGGGGGTCCCCGACTCCTGGCCGCACCTGCGCCCCCCTCTGCAAGGCAGAGGGGGCGGCCTGACGAGGACTGGTGTGGCTGGGTCGGCCCCCGCGGCCCTTACCTGCTCTTGTGCAGACTCGACATGGTGTTGACTTCCGGATCCCCCCGCTGCCTCCGCCGCCTCCACGGCCGCCACCGCCCCCTAGGGAAGCGGGGCTCTCCGCAAAGGCCTCCGACCGGAAACGCAGCCTCCGACGCGCGCGTTCCGTCTCGCCCCGCCCCCTCGGCCGGGCCCCGCCCCACTCACGTGCCGCCCCTCCCCCACAGCCGCGGTCGAGCCCGGAGGGTGCGGGGAGCACGCCCCTGCCCCTGCCACCGCCCCCACCGGCCCACGGGCCCCGCCTCCCAAGTAAAGGACGAGCAGACCGTGTGCCCGAAGCCTATTTTTTGCGCTTCCCTGGGCCTCAGTTTCCATCTATGCCGTATACCTGTCACCCTGTCCTCTTCCTTACCCGGCCCTCGCCGGCGATAAACTGTGGCGTCATTGTTTCGGAAATGTGGACCTTCCCTGCTAAACTATACAGGCCTCCAGGCGGGTCTTTTCACTGCTGAGTCCTCGACGCCTAAGACAGTGCCCACACCGAGCAGATGGCTCCATAACTGTGTTTCAGTAACTATCGGATGGACGAGCAGGACTATAGTTCAGTGTTTCCTTGGCTTTTGGAGTTGATGAACATGAAATTTACCGTATCAGAACAATAGAAAAAGAAAGCCAAGATTTCAGGATCCTTCCTGAGAAAAGACAGTTGGCAGCCTCACAATGATTTTCTCTACACATATGTGTGCATATGTGCATAATTGTCTTTTTTTTTTCTTAATTTATCCACTGATGGGTGAAAACCTTGTCCCTGGACTGGGAAACCTCAAACCCACCCTCCAGCTCTCGGGACTTCTCCGCTCCACGAGGCCCGCGCACAGATCTGTCCCTTTATTTGCCAGTCCCACGAATCCTGCTCCCACTTGTGTGCTAGATACTGAGCTAAATGTTTCTGTAGAATACAAAGATTAAGTTCTTGTATGAAATACAAGAAATAAATAAATGTCATAATTGCACAACAGGAAAAAAATATTTTTCCAGATAAAAAGAGTATCAGCCAGGGGCGCCTGGGTGGCTCAGTCCTTAAGCCTCTGCCTTCAGCT